ACTAAGCCCTCTTTTGAAAGATTGCCAGCTGATTAAGTCAGGCCTGCCTAGGATATTCTTCTTTTGATTAATCTTTTTTTTTAATTTATTTAAATTGTTTTTATTAAGTCATACACATAGATCATGAATACATTTATTCATATGTAGGTACACATTGAGGTACAATGTGTTGCTTTTTTATACGATTTGGAGGGCTTACATCAAACTAATCAATACAGCTTTCGCCTCATTTCCTTCATGATTCTGTTAAGACATTTATGTTCTATATTTGATAGATTTGACTTGTACCCTTGCAATATGCTCCATAGGTGTGGTCCCACCGTTTACCCTCCCTCTATCAAACCTCCTTCTTCTTCTCCCTTCCCACTCCGTTTCTCTCCTTCATCCTGGACTTTAGTTGTGATCTCTCTTTCATAAGAAAGTATGAATGAATATAAATTGGTTTCATAGAAGTACTGAGTATCTGGAACCTTACTCATAGTGAGAAATGATGACTGACAAGTGTTTACCTTTTACTTTCTTTGCCTTTATTTGCATCTGGGCCTTAAGCCAAAGGGATAAAAAGCATAAAGAGTCGTTTTCTATTATCAGTGATTCTGATAGAATTTTAGTTACGTCTGCAGAGTTCCTTTGCCCTTGCCACATAACCCAGGGCTAATAATTAGGGGACAGAGATTGTGGGGGTCGTTTCCGAATTCTGCCTGCCACAATTGCTTTCTAGAAATATGCTATTTAGTTGTACCTGGAACTTGTGAGAAACAGCTCCCTCTTGACTCTTCTATTAAATTGGCTAAATTGCTTACCCCTTGCGGACTGAGGAGGAACAGCTAAGTGCTGGTTTGCAGGGCTGGCTGTGTAGGATCTGTGATCTGATGGGGTAGAATGTGCGGTAGTAGTGGCTGCTCTGCCGGTGAGCTCAGGGTGGTGTCAATGCAGTTTCCTGGACAAATTTATTTTGAACATATGTCAAAGTTTATTATGTATCCATAAGACAAACCACAAATAAAGTATGCTAGTGCAAAATGACAGGAGTTTAGGCCTGACTGCTATTTTACTTCCCGTGGTCATAAAAACATCATATTCTATCAGTGATAGGGTCAGTTTATGACACGAATGGTTTGGGCCATATTCTGTCACGAACTATTAATCAGAAATAGCAAGCGCTCTGGTTGCAAAGCTAATGATAAGCTAATTGATCGATGAGTATTAATTAGATGTATCAAGAAACAAGATTTTATGCATTCATGATACATGCCAAACGGAGGTCAAGCAGAAGTCAGCTCAGAGAAGCTTAGTGTCCTGCTTTTTCCCAAGCAAAGTTTTCTAGCATGCAATTAAAGATACTGAACATAAGGTTTTGGGGACAAAATTTTTATTTCCTAGTGGGTAGAGGTGGAAGTGACTAGAAGCCCTGTTACATGGGGAGGAAGAGCCCACTGAAGGAAACACATTTGAGTGGAGAAGAATGAGATAGGCAGGTAGAGCTCCCTGTCCCCTCTGATGGCTGTCCACATCTACAGCCGGCCTTAGAAGCCTTATAGTCCTAGAACAGTAGCTCTGGAAGGGCCCTTGGAGAACACTGCAACCTGTGGCTTCCCAGCTGTGTTCTGAGAAGCCCAAGAAGCCAAGGGGAAACAGAATAGTGATGATGTATCACCAGGTAAACAGACTGTACCAAGTGGGGAGACCACATATAACAGCCCCCCTTAAAAGAAAGACTGAGCGAAGTTATTTTCTCAGATTTTTTTTTCAATTAGAAGAAAAAAGTCTTTAATCATAACATAAATTTCAAATCTCATGTGTTATGGTTTAGTATTGCCTTTGGTTTGAATTGCATATGTGAAGGGGACAGGCACACTAATCTCTAGTGCTTAGCGTCTCCAAGGGTATTTTTTCAGCTCGGCTGAATGGGTAGAACTGCTTCTATGAGAGCAGCTTTGCTTTTACCAGTTTTTGTGATTTGGGTTGTAAATATAATTTTTATTTGTGAAAAAGTAGTATTGGTACAATCCAGGATACAGGTTACAGAAAAAGTTTCATGTATTTTAACTACTTGCTCTGTTTTGTTTTCTTTTAGTCAGGGGCAGTGACATGATTCGAAGTTAATGTATTTAAGTCATTATTCTGGAGGGGGGCAGGATGGAAGGTAGGGCAAGACACCTGGGCCTCAGTTTCTCCTCTGTGAAACAGGACTGATTCTAGCTTTAATATTTCATAATTCTTGATTGTGGGTGAGCCCTGAAGCCTGAGTTCCTGTAAGTGACAGGTTTTGTTTATGAAAATCAGCCAGGGGAGATTTATGTATTCCTGGCATTTAGAGTCAGGGAGACTATGTGAAGTTAATGGGTTTACAGGAAGGGAATGGGTTTTGTGGGGTTCCCATTGCTTAGGGCAGGCTAGCTGTTGATGTAATCAAGAGACCACAAAGAATAATTTCTCTGCCTGTCCCTCTTTAACAGTTTGTGTCTCCTGTGACTCATGCTTCTGGGTCTTAGACCTTGGAGAAACTGACTCCATTTCCAAGGCTGCGGGTGAGCCAGCCTGTACCTCTCTCTCCTCGGTAGGCCCCAGAGGAACTTTGATACTCCTGTGGCCCAGGGGATCTTTGCCAGAGGCGTCTCCTTCATCTTGGAACTCACCTACATCTTTCAGCCTGGCTAAGAGAACTTAGGCATCAGTTCCCAAATCTTAGGGCTGAAAGAGACTTTAGAGACTGTTGAACATAAGGGGCGCCAAGCCTGGCTGTACATTCAAACCACCTAGGCAGTGGGGAAGAAGGGCTCCCTCCTGTCACCTTTCATATCTAATTCAGTTAGTTTGGATTGGGACCCAGAAGTCAGTGTTTTTATACTTACCTTAATTTTATTTGATTTAAAAATTACATATGTATGTATTTACTCTTTTTAATATAGAGACTTATAAATAAAAAAACCCTAAAATTCTATTTTCCCCTCAACTCATTTGGTGTAAAAAATTAGAATTAATACATGATCATGTTTAAAAAATTTGAATGGTATAAAAACATGAAAAATGAAAAACACGAATCTCTCCTATCCCTCGTCTAACTCCCCCCCCAAAGTATCTACTGTTCACACTGATTACACTCAGAGTTCTGTTGAACACTCACCGTCACGGTTCTGTTTCCCCTTGACTTCTTGGACTTTTCAGAACGCAGCTTGGAAGCCACAGGTCACATAAAGAACTATGGAATATTTTTATGTCTATATCCTCACTCATCTACCTACTTATTTCTATAAAACCTGAATCAAAGGGACTATCTTATACCCATACACATTATCCTGTATCTTGTTTATTTTTTCACTTAAAAGATTTTGTAGCTTACCAAAGATCAGACTTTTAATAACTATTAAGTAAGTTGATTTCTTCCTTCTCAAAGAGTTATTACTTATTTCTCCTGTCTAAGTGAAACACAGTTAGACCAACATCCTCCCATCCCCCCCTACCTCCTGGCCTCTGCTAACTACCATTCTACTTTCTGCTTCTGTATGTTAGATTTTATATTAGGTTCCATGTACAAGTGAGAATTTGTCTTTCTGTGCCTGGCTTTTTTTACTTAGCACAATGTGCTCTGGATTCATACATGTTGTCCCAAATGACATAATTTTTCTCTTTTTAAAGGTGGAATAATATTCCATTGTATATATACCACATTTTCTTTATCCATCCAAGGTTGATGGACACTCAGGTTGATTCCTTAACTTGGCTATTGTGAATAATGTTAGAATAGACATGAGAGTACAGAAGTCTTTTTGACACAGTGATATCAAATCCCTTACTTATATGCTCAGAAGTGGGGTTACTGGGATTATTAGGTAACTTTATTTCTAGTTTTTAAAAAAAACTCCAGATCCTTTTCCATAATAGCTGTATTAGTTAAATAAATTAATATTTGTAACATGCTTGGAATAATGGTTGATTTGTAGCGAGTGCTACATATTTGTTAAATGAGTGAATGAATAAACAAACATATCAATGAACAAATACATGATAATAGCTGCATGGTGTTCCATCATATGAATATACCCTACTTTATTTTACTAAAACCATGCAGAATAAGTGAGTTCTCCCCAGAAAAGAGGGAGCTCTGTTCCCAGGAGAATGGGGCATGAGGTACAGGATGAAAACCAGTGAGTTTCTCTTTTTATTTTATTTTATTTTTTTGAGACAGAGTCTTACTATGTCGCCCTCTGTAGAGTGCTATCATGTCACAGCTCACAGCAACCTCCAACTCTTGAGCTTAAGCAATTCTCTTGCCTCAGCCTCCCAAGTAGCTGGGACTATAAGTGCCCGCCACAATGCCCAGCTGTTTTTTTGGTTGTAGTTGTCATTGTTGTTTGGCAGGCCTGGGCTGGATTTGAAGCCATCAGCTCCGGTGTATGTGGCTGGTGTCCTAGCCGCTGAGCTACAGGCACCAAGCTGAGTTTCTCATTTAAAGAAGAGAGAACAGACTAGTAGTTAAGCATGGAACTACTTGGGTTCACGTCTTTGGTCAGATTAATGACACCTCTGTCTTTTAGGGTTGTAGAGTCCTCATCTATAAAAGGGGCATAATTGAAGATAGAGGCCAAGGGATAAAAAAAGGACAGTAATTATAGTTTCTACCTGAAAGAATTAGTGCTCCAAGTGAGGACTGACTGAGTAGATGTAAAGTGCTCAGCCTGGTAATAGCAAGCCCTCAGTAAATAAGCCATTTGCTGTAATATGATTAATGATCAAAAGGCCTTAAGATGATGTTATCTGGTAAATCACCCAAGCTTCTGACACATGGGAGTTTCCCTCTAAGTTGGGAGGCAGGGAGACAGTACACAATGGTGACTTTCCTTTCCCGTCTGTTGCAGAGTGAAGCAGCATGGACACAGTCAGCCAAGTCCCCACAGAAGTTGTGCTTCCCAAGCACATCCTGGACATCTGGGTCATTGTTCTCATCATCCTGGCCGCCATTGTCATCATGACCTCCTTGTTGCTGTGCCCAGCCACTGCGGTCATCATCTATCGTATGCGGACTCATCCCATCCTCAGTGGGGTTGTCTGAGAAACTACGACCAAGAGGGCCAGGCGAGGGATGAGGACAGGAGTCCCTCCCCCAGCCTCATCCCTGTTCTCAGAAAAGCAGCATCAGGGTCTCTGGAGCTTGGACTTCAGTTCTGGTTTTGATTCTGCCACGGACCAGCTATGTGAATTCAGTCATGGGGTCTAACTGTATGAGTTCCAGGGTCCTCATCTTTCACAGGGGGATTATGATCCCTGCGCTTTCTACCTCTCACAGGGTTGTAAGAACCAAAGCACTTAGTGGAGCTGAAAGCTATGTGAGCAGTAAAGTCACCACAAATAAACACATGTAATGCTGAGTGCTGAGAAACTTCAAAGAACCAAAGAACCTAATGGCTGGCGATGGCCTCAAGGTGGTGAGGGGTACCCTGGGTCACAGCAGCCTTTGCTAGTGCCCCTCAGGTCAAATCATGCTAAGGACACCCTATCCTCATTCCAAGGGGCCAACAGTACACTGGCTCAGTTATTTTCTTTTTTTTTTTTTTTTTTTGAGACAGAGCCTCAAGCTGTCCCCCTGGGTAGAGTGCCATGGCATTACAGCTCACAGCAACCTCCAACTCCTGGGCTCAAGCGAGTCTCCTGCCTCTGCCTCCTAAGTAGCTGGGACCACAGGCGCCCGCCACAGCGCCCGGCTATTTTTTGGTTGCAGCCGTCATTGTTGTTTGGCGGGTCCGGGCTGGGGATTCGAACCCGCCACCTTAGGTGTACGTGGCTGGCGCCTTAGCCGGTTGAGCTATAGGTGCCGAGCCAGTTATTTTCTTTAAGGTGGCATTCTCTGTGTTTTCTCAGTTGGGAGGGAACTGAGCATGGCAGGGGTAAGGAGATCAGTAGGACCTTCTAGAACCTTCTCTGTGCTAGAATCTCTGTCTCTAAGTACTCTGGAAGAGGGCTCTGCCATCTATCTGTTGGCAATGACAAGGGAGTTGGGGTGGTGGGTTACTTTCTGCACTGTAGTCTCATATCTCTGTTAGCTTTGACACTCAAGCAATGTTGGAACATGTGGAGTGGCTGAGTTCCTTACCACTGGAGCTTTGAGGCTCTCCAGTCCCCAGCCCCTCCTGTACCCCTCTGCCCAGCTCCTGCTACAGTGAGCTTCCCCTGCCACTCCCTCTTCACTCCTGTTTGGTGCCCTTCACTCCCTCCCACCAACACTGTAGCCAATCCAAGGTCCTTATGTTTTAAGAGATGTTCCCAGGAACCCAGATGTTTGGAACCAACTCAAAGCAATCGTAGTTATTTGAGATGCTATGATTTGCATCAAAATCAAGAGCACCTTGGGATTTATTAAATTATATAAGAATATGTCATACATATCAGGATATTATTGTGCAAAAATGAAGCTTTTAACTTCGATCTGATTTCATTGATGTACACAGCCAATTTCCAATAAAGTGTTAGAATGAGCATGTCTGAGGTCTTTCTTTAAAGAGCACCTATTAAACTCAGAACTCACATAAAAGAATTCCACTTAGACACAGTTTGAATGTACCAACCAAAAAGGGAAGAGAAGAATCAAGTTAATTTCCAGGGTTCTAGGTTTAATACCTGGGTGAAGTTCTGCATTTTCCACAGACAGATAATGTGGGGGATGAGGGGGAACAAATTTTGGATGTAAGATAATGAATTAAGTATTAGACATGTTGAGCTTTAGGTGCTTTGATGTTCGTGTGGACACTAGCAGGATGCAGTTGGAAATCTGGGTCTATTCTTGGAAGGATTTTATGGTTATGGTTTGGGGATTATTATACATAATAGATACGCTGATATCTATTATATTCATATTACATACATAATAGATAGTGTATGGCTGAGGGTAGTGCTAAAGGCAGAACTTGGAGGACACTAAATAGAAAAGGAAAAGGAATGGAGGGCAAAGCAAGGAGATTGATTTTTTTTTCCCTGCAGTTTTTGGCCAGGGCCAGGTTTGAACCCACCACCTCTAGTATATTGGGCCAGTACCCTACTCCTTGAGCCACAGGCACCACCCCCAAGTAGGGAGATTGAAAAGGTCCTATAACGTGAGGTATTTTAGTAGGGGTGCTATCACATTTTGTGGGTTAAATGAATGGGAGGTTAGACTGAGCACAAAAGCCCTTTCCGGAAATAACACTATGGCATAGAGGTGAGAGTCAGGCGTGTCAAGAAAGCCACAGAGGAGATTTTTTTTTTTTCTGAGACAGTCCTACTGTGTCGCCCTCAGTAGAATGCTATGGTGTCACAGCTCACAGCAACCTCCAACTATTGGGCTTAGGCAATTCTCTTGCCTTAGCCTCCCAGGTAGCTGGGACTATAGGTCCCACCACAATGCCTGGCTATTTTCTGGTTGTAGTTGTAGTCATTGTTTGGCAGACCCAGGCTGGATTCAAACCCGCCAGCTCTGATACATGTGGCTGGTGCCCTAGCTACTGAAGATTTTTGTCTAAGTCTGTTCAAGCTGCTATAATGAAATACGTGAGAGTGTGTAATTTAGAAACTACAGAAATGTATTGCTCTGGTTCTGGAGGCAGGGAAGTTCAAGAGTGAGACACCAGCAGATAGGGTGCCTTGTTGAAAACCCTAACGTGGTGGGAGGGGCAAACGGGCTCCCCCAGGCCTCTTTTACAAAGGCATTAATCCCATTCACAGAGCAGAGTTCTCCTAACCTAATCACCTCCTGCAATCCCTACAAACAATCAGAACAAAGCAAGAGGACAGACGTGTGATGAGATTCCATTGCTCTAGTCAGCATTTCCTCTAGCCTCCTTTTCCAGTGCACCTTTCTGGATATCAAAGGCTGGAAAGTGAAAAACTACATTGAAAATGAAAACCTGCATTTCTCTATGCCATTGTTGGAGATTAAGACACAACCCAGGCTTTGTTCTCTAGATGCACACATGCTGGGCTTTAGTTTGGAAGCCAGCCAGGTCTGGAGAAAGATGACAGGATGTGAGGCCTTCACCGTGCTGACGCAAATCCTGCAGTTGGTGCAAATCCTGCAGCTGGTGCAGGGCTCTGGAGCCAAGCTGGCAGCTTTCCCATACCTGGATCGCAGTCGTGGGACACTCCAGCAGCTCCTAGCCAAGACTGTGGCTTTCTTATTCCCTAGAGTACCAGTTTTGCAGCAATTCCCTAAGGTGGTTGGTGTTGCAATCCTGATCTGGAAGGAATTCCAGTATCCCTTGCCTTCTCTGCTTCTACAATCCTTTTAATGATTTTAGGTGCATAATTCCTTGCATTAAAGCCTATTTAACTTAGAGTGTACACCTGATTGATCCAGGTGTTAGAAAAATCTACTAATTCTTATCAATTGTTTCCACATTTAAACCCGCCATATGATTCAGAATTGATGGGGGAAGACCTCTGTCAGTGAGAAGCAGGTGGTCTTGGCATGCCAAGGAACTTTCGGTCTCAGGGAGATCTCAGAAAGATTGGTGATGATGGCATGAAAACTCTGCTCAATAGTTTCAGAAGCAATACTGTAAGTATAGTGAGATAGTTAGGTGAACATCACCAAAAGTTATGAGACAATAAAGGGTGGTTTCTGAAAAGAGAATGAAAATAGGAATTTCAAAGTCAAATTTGTTGGCCATTTTGAAAAATAAAGGGCCAGTATTGAATAGCAGTTTAAAAAAATTGTATCTAGGCTCGGCGCCTATAGCTCAACCGGCTAAGGCGCCAGCCACGTACACCTAAGGTGGTGGGTTC